GGGGGGGGGTACTTACGTTTTGCATGCCGTAGCATTGGGAGCACCCTTTCACTACGTAGTCCAAGAGTCCCTGAATTGGTGATCCTACAAAAAAATAAAAACTCACGTGAAACACAGGCGCCATCAGCCAGTCGGCCGAGTCGAGGACGAGCGTCCGCGCCGCCGCCGACACGCGGAGCGTGCCCTCCTTTATCAGGAACTTGACGCGGCCGGGCGTGCCGACGACCACGTTACACCCCCCGCCGGCGAGGGCCTTGTGGTTCTCCGAGACCGGCACGCCCCCGATGAGCGTCGCCACCGAGAGACTAGGAATGCCTTCGCCGAGACGAGTCAACATTGTCTGCGGGGAGGGGGGGCAACGTGGTAGGTTTCAAGGAGGCGAGAATGGAGGGGGGGGGGGGGGGGACCGACCTGCAACAACAAAGGTGCATTCCAGGCGAAGAAAAAAAAAAAGGCATGTTCAGGTACGACACCAGCCCTCAAAAGGTATTTCGAAAAGGAACCGAACCGCGCGCAAGTGCAGTGCAGCCAATATCCCAGAGTACCATTTTCTCTGGTTCAAGTCGCACGGTATCGACATTCGAAACGCGATTTGCATGCTGCTTGTCTCACTCATGAAACAGGCCTCCCACGCCCAACACACACACCTACAAGACTCAAGAAGAAGCTGCTGCTGCAGCAAAAACGGCCAACAAAACAATTCGATGGGTAGGTAAGTCCTTCTGCGTTTCAATGCACATCTTTTAAAAACCCAAGAGACCGAGCAGCAGCAGCAGCAGCAGCAGCAGCAGCAGCAAAACTCACCGTAACATCCGACGCCATGTCTCGCGTCCGCGTCAGTACGAGTGCAACCACCTCGTACTTCTCATCTGCTGCGGTACAAGCACCACCACCACTCCCCGATGATGCCGGGGCTCTCGCCGCTTGCTCACCGTCGCCGCACAGGGCTTGCGGATACCGCTCCAGCACCCTCTCCAGGATGGGCACGCAATACGCCGTTGCGGTCTCGTCTCCTGGTCGTGCCTGCTCATTTCACAAACGTCATACATGGGAAAACGTCATATGCGAGCGGGCTGGGCTCTTCAGCATACTTGTCGATGACTTTTTCAGGCCATACACACCAGGGTGCCCTCCGGAGTGGGCGGGGTCATAAGAGAGCACAATAGTTGTCGTCAAGGGGTGATGGTGCAAGACTACGACGAAAGCTGTCGTTGTCCAAGCTCACACAGCTGACACAGCTGACGCTTGTGTACACTGGGAAGAGGCCAGCGAGAACCACAACAGAACCAAAAAAGACTACAGTTAGGGGTGCCAATCGGGCCGATTTTGGCGGCAAAAAAGTGACCGGTCTATTCGAGGATTTTGGGAAAAAAAGGGGGGGCACGCGGATTGTTGATTCTCAGCTCAGCTTCTGAAGTTATACCGATCGAAGTATACCTTATCCTCCGTATGTTTGTTCAAGAGTCCCTGCGTCCAGGCAGCGATGTGGCTCTTCATACGTTACACACATCTTGAGACAGGTCATCCAGGTCATCTACACGTGACTGCGGGTTCGTTTTCTACTGACGTTCAAAGGGCGGGCGAACAACACAGAAAACCTTATGAAATTCGGTTTGAAGGCTCACGCTCGTGGCCGCGTTTGGTGATCGTAGAACAGCGGATCCGCAGCGCACAGCCTCGGGTTTTCAGCGACACAACGCAAGAAACCGAACTAGAATCGCACAAACTTCCAGCGAGAACCGCATGTCTGAAAATGGCCAGTCAAGCACGCCAAGTACCGCGGTCGAGGTCCCCAAAAAACGCAAACGCTCCGCCTTCGGCGTGGGAAGAAAAAATCGATTTCGTCGCAACCTCAAGAAAAACAAACGCAAACATATAGAGCGGGAGGGGCGGACCTTTGCCGACGCGGCCGGAGCAACGCACACACTGCGCGCGATCGAAAGGGGCGGTGTTGCCGTCGCGCAGAAAGCGCTGGTAGAAAAGGAGCAGGAGTTGATCGAAAGTAGACAGCGCGAGGCGGCGAGCGCCGCTGGGTGCAGCATTGCTCAGGAGCTCGCGCGACAGAGCACCGAGGCGCTGAAGGACGAGAAGGCTAAGAAAGAGGAGGCAGAGCGGTCGCACTCGCGTGTGGGAGCCGGGTGTTTTTGGTTCTGTTGGGGTTCTTCGGAGCGTTCTATGTTATTTGATTGGCTCGAGCGATTTTCCATCTGGAAGATCCAGGTCACTTTTTGAAATTTTTTCCTATAGGAAATTTGACCGATTGGCACCCCTAACTGTGATGACCGCCTCGAGGGCAGTCTAAATTTGACGCTGCAGTAGGGGTATGCATAAGTCCGCAGTGGAAAAAGACAGAGATAGGTGAGATGTCATACGATTCGCAGACGGCACAAGTAACCGCTAGTTATCTACATGACGGAGGCAAAAAAAAAAAAAAGAACGTACGTGCACGAGCAGATCCTCCCTGTCGGCGCCTCGACCGATGCTCCAGACAGACTCCTGCAGCGGGGTCGGCAGCGTGACGCCGTTCGCTTCTAGGGAGGCGAGCAGTACGGCCGGGATGTTTCGCTTCGCTTCCCGGAGCGACGCAGTCGAGCCCGACCTCCGCACCCGCCGCACCGTTGATCCCTCCCCCTCAGAACCAGCCTGCTGCTGCTGCTGCTGCTGCTGCTGCTGTTGCTCCCGCTGCTGCTTGTCGTAAAGGTCCAGCTGCTGCCTGCTCAGCTGATCCCACCCCTTGTCCGAGGAGCAGGAGCGAGGGCTCTCGTCCTCCCGTGACCCCACGAAGCGCTTCTTGGACCCCGAGATCACCACCTCCCCCAGCAGCAGCGACGACGTCGAAGATCCTTCCGCCGGTGGCTTGCGCTTCTGATTCTGATTGTCCACCGCCGCGACCATCATCGCCGACAGCCCTCCCTTCGACGCGGCCGGCGAGAGGAGCCCCAGAGACGACGCGGCGTCGTCGTCGTGGGCACCCGCCTTGCTCAGCGCCCCGCGCGTCCCCGCGCCCCGCCGGCTTCTCTGCTTGTGCCCGCTGCCGCTGCCGCTGCCGCTGCCGCTGCCGCTGCCGCTGCCGCTGCCGCTGCCGCTGCCGCTGCCGCTGCCGCTGCCGCTGCCGCTGCCGCTGCCGCTGCCGCTGCCGCTGCCGCTGCCGCTGCCGCTGCCGCTGCGGCCGCGACTGCGGCAGCCGCCGCCGGTGTAGCACGCCGCCAAGGCTCGCCGCTCTTCTACTGAAATGCCCTCTCCCGCCGAGTAATCGGGCAATGCAGAGCTGTTGTAGAAAACCCCCTTCTCGACGAGGGAGTACGACGGCGGCGGCGCGCCGCCGCGGGAGGATAGCTTGGCGCTGCCGGAGCCGAATTTCATGCCGATGGGCAGCCCGTCGATGCTCAGGGTCCTCCTGAGCCCCCTCTTTGTGACCGTGGGATGCCGTCTCTTGAGGCCGGACTCGGTGTCGGCAGCGGCGGCGGCGGGGGGAGCAACCACGTCGGCATCGGTGACCGCTCTGCTGCGCGCCGGCTGCATCAGCGGGGTCCCAACCGACTTCGGCCGTGGCAGCGCCGTCGCCGACATCGCCCCGGAGATGCTCAGAGCCTTCCTCGTCTCGAGGAGGAGCTTCAGCTGCGCCCGGGGCCGCGACGCGCGCTGGCCCGCCGGCCGGTCTTGGGACAGCGGCAGCAGGGGCTTCATCAGCGCCACCGCCGACGCCGCCGCAAAGCCCGCTTCCTGGGCGGCCGCCGCCGCCGCCGCCGCCGCTGCCGCCGCCCGCTCCGGCGACCCGTGCCGGGGCTCCCGTGGCACGATGACGCCTCCTCCCACGGGGGACAAAAGTCCCGAGGCGTCGATGTGGTTGGCCGCCAACATCGGCGGCGCGCTTGCGCCGCCGTTGTTAGTCCTGCCGTCGACGGCCATAGAGGGTGCGGGTGCGGGTGCGGGTGCGGTGGAGCCGCTGCCGCTGCCGCTGCCGCCGCCGCCGCCGCCGCCGCCGCCGCCGCTCGTCGCAGTCGCCTTTGTCATTGTCGCCGCTTTCGTCGCGGCCGCTTTTGTCGCCGCTGCTTTCGCCGCCGCCGTCTTCGCCGCCGCCGTCTTCGCCGCCGCCGTCTTCGCCACCGCCGCCTTCGCCGCCGCCGCCTTCGCCACCGCCGCCTTCGCCGCCTCCGCTGCCGAAGGCAACGCCGACGAGGGCGTGGGCGACGGGGGGGGTTCCGGCATCCGGACCTTGGCCTCCCCGATGGCGCCGCTCGGATCAAGGCGCTTCAGCGCCGGCACGCCGAGGATTTCGCACAGCCCTTCCTCGAACGCCACGGAAGGCTTGACCGTGGAGGAGAGCACCACCTGCTTCTCCTCTGGGAATCTCCGGACCACGTAATCGACGTCCTCCTGTTCCGTTCGTTGTCGATGTCGTGGCCGTTCGCGTTCGTGGTGGTCGAAGTGTTTTTCGGAACACCCATCCGCACGCGTGTGGCCGCATGAGCNGGGGGGGGGGGGGGGGGGGGGGGGGGGGGGGGGGGGGGGGGGGGGGGGGGGGGGGGGGGGGGGGGGGGGGGGGGGGGGGGGGGGGGCGAAGTTATGCGTCAGAATGGGACTGAAAAAAACAGCGGTTTTGAGCAGGAACAAAACAAAGCGACAGATGGATGGACTGGACTTCCGCATTCGGTGCCGGATTTGTTGTCTGCACCCCTCAAAAGTTCACCCAAAGTCCCTTAGTATGGAAAGCGCTGCAGGCAAAGAGGCGTACAAATAGCACCAACTTTTCCGGCGTTTTGTGGAAATGCATAGCGTGGACTTCTGTATACCCGGATTATTCGACCCCCACGGCTATGAGTACACGCCCCCCCCGCCTACCCTACCCCTTGTGACAGAGATAAGACACACGCACAACGACACCGTGAAGCGTAGGCAACCAAGAGCACCATCTTGGCCCCTGCACCATACCTGCTACCCCAGAGCCCACTCCCCGTCGCGACGACATATTACAAGAAGATAAGCCTACTAATGTACCCGCCATGAACAATGTCACGAAAACAACAACAACAACAACTACCGTATATGACACAATTTAACACACTCCTTGGACCGATTTTCAAAGCTCGGTTACTCCACGACGAAGAGGATGCATAAACGAGTCGATACATTTTCGAAAAGCTCTCGACGAGACGGTTTCAACGCCGCCGTTTTCGGCGCTGTAACTGTTCCGGCAGTTGAGAAATAGAGCTTTGAAAATCGGTCAAGGGGGTGTGTTATCTTGTGTCATATATGGCACTACCGCCACGACAACCAGTAAGACCCGTCACAACACACAACAAACTATACACGTGCTGCCTTCGCAACAAAAGTGACCAAGCATCGCAAAATCGCGGGCTCGCTCACCATGAACACCGGCGCCATGAGCCAGTCGGCCGACTCCAACACCAGCAGCCGGCCCGTGTCCGGCACCAACACGCCCTTGTCGATCAAGAACTTGACGCGGCCGGGCGTCCCGATCGCAACGTGGCAACCCGCCGACAGCGTCCGGGCGTTCTCCGCCACGGCGATGCCTCCTACGAGGGAGGCGATGGTCAGGTTGGGGACGCTGCTCTTCCCTAGGCGTAGGAGTGTTTCCTGTATTTTGTTCCGGGAAATTTCAAGAGGGGGAGGACGGGTCGAATTTTTAGACCACCGGATACAGACACAGCAGTATGCACAGGGTCTCTAACGATTCGGACGAGGAATGAACCAAAATATTTTTCCGGCGAAAGAAGGTGGGCCCGGCGGCGCGAAAAAAAAAACGAAAACAAGCATTACGTGCGATGCGCTATTAGGTGAGGGACGGAAACTTAAACTTGGGCAACAATGCTGCGCGCCAGCGCACGCCCCTTCTTACCATATCACCATGGGTTCGGACTGCGGTGGCGTCGGGCCTTGATATTCGCCGTCATAATTTTTTTCGTCGGCCCCCATGTTTTTTGAGATGCTGAAAAAAACTCATTTAGACCGTTAACAATTTTAGCAATTGTTCCTTACGAGACTGGGGATAAAGGAAGAGAACCGGCGAGGACAAGCGGCCCCACAACAGCAACATGGGAGCGGCCGCCTCAGCGTTTCAATCGGAAACCGCGTGAGTAACCTTTCGATTTCGAATCCCTCTGGAGTGACCAAAACTCGCACCCCAAGCAAAGAAGTGGAAAAAGCGCGTAGTTATTACTTGTACGAAATCTCGTATCACAAAAGAAGCGGTAACTTTGAAGGCAACAGGCACCGCAGGGGCGGGGGCGGTGGACATGTAGATGGAAAAACTCCTGTGAATATTTTCCCCGTCCTATCCATCAAGTTCCTGTGTGATCCTGGCTGACTCCTCGTGCATGCATCACGCATATAAGCGAAAGGATGCATGCTTTAGACTCGCGCCCACACCACGAACACGCACTCTTTTTTCGTGCTATAGCATACACCCTCCCCACTCACGTTCGCAAAATGGATGTAGGCCACTGCTGTACTACTAAGTATTTGTTTGCACGGAGAAAAAAAGTCGTAATACCCTTGAGCAGGTCTTTGTGCAAAATCCTCGCTCGGCTCGAGGATCAGGCCAGAGGGAGAAAAACTAACCAACGCAAAAGTGGGCGCCGACGTAGGCATACACTTGTTGAGGCGGGAACGCACGGTAATGATGCATGACCACATTTTGCTGTGTGAAACGCAATTTATCGTATCCGCCAATACTAGTGTACAGATTTGAGACCGTTTACTCGCAGTCAGTTGTAGTCTATGCATTGTACGATACTTCCTTCCTTTGATACCCCCTTTTTGTGCGACCAATAAAATTAAATACCTAACGGACAATTAAAAGCTGCCTTCCTACACAGGAGAGGTCACAACATGTGCATGGTTTGTTCTTGTGAACGCTCGAAGGGTTCGCCCCTTCCCGCTCCCAGGAGGCCGTCTGTACACGCATGGTGACCATTTTATTAGTACATGCACACGCTGTAACAAAAACGCATGTTATCTTCGTCGGCATGAATGCATGTGTGCATGGTGGGTGAATTTCGGCAAAACGCAGTGCGTGCTGCTGTGCGTCCCCCCCCCGTCCCCCAAATGCCCCTGGTTGAGGTGGGCGTGTGTGTTTTGCATAAAATTCTGGAAGGTGGGCCCCAGCCACATACAGAACGACCGACCGAACAAATCAGTGGCCGGTCCGCACTGCTGCACAGGGAGGAGAAAAGAGAAAAACGGCGACGAGAAAAAAGAGGGGCGTTCGTGCCCGAAATCTGTGTACACAAATGCCTGCCCACAGGGAAAAAAACTGGAGTTGATGTGGGAATTTCTCAAGGAGGCATGCGATGCGATATATTTGCTTTATTCGCTGCACCCACCCCCCGGGATGTTGGCTGTTGAATAAATAAACAAAGCAGGGAGTGCCAAGGTGTTGCTGCCGCAGAATTGGAAGGAAACGCGCCCCGTACGGGAGGGTGGGAGGCAAGCACTGCGTGCATACGTCTAAGAATAATTCAATGTAGACACTGCTGTCGTCAGTAGTGAGTGCATCGTATATGAGACTCGTTTGCTTTGCACGAAACCCCGGAAACTCGAGGATGTCCACCGTTCGTGTACCGGGAAATGAGAGGCATGATTCGTTTCGGCAGGCATCAATTGTTCGGCTCCAAGGCTTGTTCAATAATTTCGTTTGGCATCGCATCTACTTGTTTCCAACGTACCAGCAGCGAAAACTTTTCTGAACCATGACAATAATGAATTTCTTTCCCTATACGCTCTACAAGACATGGCATGCCCTTTTGGGCGCTGTCTGCCTGAGGACACAGCTCAGCGAAGTTACGCCGCACCAGGAGAAACAAACAACAACACGCAAGCCAACCTGTACGCGCCAGCAGGGAGAGAAACAGCTACAGTAAACTACCTCACAAGTCACGGCTGACCCTGTGCCGCTACTCAGCAGCCATGACGAATGGCCAGAGGCGGAGAATCGGAAACAACACTCCGCCGCCCCCGATGCTCTGTCGTGCGAGCGGTGCGGAGGTGCGCGCTTCAGCGCTCCCTTCCTTTTTTTTTGGGAGGAGATGGAAAAAAAAAAAAGAAAGGCGTTGATCACCGCAGATAAATATACTTTTTCCTTAGTTAAGAAAAAAAAGGCATGAACGTCAATGTTCTACTTGATGCGAGGGAGGTACAGGCCTCGCGCGTGGCACCCATGAAAAGGCAGTGTTTCACACATGAATACAGCTAACAGGACCCCGCCTGATGATGGTCGGGATTTACCCCCGGCACCCGCGAAGAAAAAGAAGAGGAATCGTGCGCTTGTTCGGGGTCCGCGAACCTTTTGAGTGCCCGGGTGATGACAGACAACATGCCTTCTTCAGATAGAGAGAAGACGCAGCAGCTTTTCGTACAGCAGGTTGGCATTTTATGTGCGGCAGATGTCCGTCTGATGCTTGTACGCTGGTTGCATGATCAGGCGTTGGCGTGTTGTCGATCCATAACTTTCTTCGCTCTGCTGCCTCGCTTCTTCAAGCACCAGCAGCAGCAGCAGCAGCTGCCAACACCACCACGCAAGCAAAAAAAAAAGCAAATCTACTTCTATCTCTGTTTTGTATGAACGCCGATTCGATTCGGAATGTTGTTTGTTTCGCGAAAATATTTGGTCGATCGTCACTCACGCACCTTGACGCCGGCGGCCACCTCCCTGTTCTTGGTGAGCACCAGCGCGCACAGCTGCGGCTTGAGCAAGCCACCGCTGCCGCTGCTGCCGTTGGCGGTGGAAAGGTCGCTCTCGCTATCCTTGACATTGCTGTTGCTGTTGTTGCCGGAAGTAGTCCGGAGCACGCTGCTGACGATCCTGTTGAGCCCGCTGAGGCTGCTGAACGAGGTGGTTCTCTTCCTCGCGTAGCGGGGCAGGGCAGCCTCGGCAGACGAGATGGCCGCCACGAGGCGGTCGAGAACCAGCACGGCCAGGGCGGTGGTGGTCTCAGGGCCCGATTTCGCCTTCGCTCGAGAAGCCGAACGCGAAAGGCACACGAAGGCAACAAACAAGCAGGGGGGCGGGTTTACAGCAAGCCATCGAGCCATCATTTTCCACCTCTTTTTTTCGCGAAAAACAATCGCGAAAGGACGGCGGGGCGGAGGAAGTTTTGGGACTGCTTGATCTTAGAGCGGACGTCACCAATTGCGACGAAAGAAAGGGCAGGGAAAAGGTATCACACAGCTTATGCTCGAGCTCGACAAAACGGGAGACAAGGGGCGCGCATGGGAGGCGATGACGCACAGGCACTTTGCTTCAAGTCTCCACCCTCTCTGCATGACATATTTTTCCTATATCTCAACGGCCACAGCCTGCCCGGAGCAGGCATAAAATTAGTGTGCAGCCTCTTCAGGTGGTGCGTCCCTTTTACCCACCTCGATTAGCAGATCAGCACCGGCCCGTGCCTCGGACCACACCGAGGCCTGGAGAGGCGTTACTTGCACCTCTTCCACCTCCAGCGATTTCTGCAACGCCGGCGGCAACGTCATCTGCGCAGAGCTGCGAGGCACACACGCACACACAGCTTTCCCGAAGCAGGCAGCTTGGTGAGTGTGTGCAGCCAGACAGACCCGACAGAGACAGAGAAAATGGTACCCGGGTCTTTCTGGATGGCGGACGGTGATGGGGGGGGGTGCCTAACTTTTTTCCGGGGTGGGGGGCCACGGCAAGCAAGCCAAACCTTAACCTTTACACCACTGCGGCCGCCACGCCGGCAGATGCTGCTGCGCCTTCGTCTACCTTTGCACCAACCAACTGGGCGGTTCTGATACAGGGCCAGATCTCGCGTGCCTCCTTGAGGGGCGGTTGCGTGGTGACCGACATGGCGCAGCAGGAAGAAACGAGCGTGGGCGAGAGCGAGGTTTGACCTGCGCATTTATTTTGTACAAGTTCAAAAGTTTGAGTTAGCCCGCGCTCCCCGTTGTTTCGAAAATCGCACATGCAGCGCATGACCCGCATCATCACATGTGACGGCCGGCTGGCTGGGGTCCTGAAGCTTGTTCGTGAGCGCTGCTCTGTTGTTGAAGTACGGCGCAGGCAAGTACGCTTGGTGCCACCAGCACCATACGATGTGCAGTACTTGCGGCTGTCACCCAACTACAGCAGGATGTCCAGCATCCATGTTCGTAGCTTCTTTTTTTTTTTGTGCATGTGTTATCGATGTCGATTCCAAGAACGAATCCTACCTAGCTCCACCGATTGACCCGATCGATGGATACGAGTACAGCCGTAGTCTGACAGCAGGCTAACAGCAGTCTGACCAATCCCGACAGAAGCAGCAGTCCGTGTGTCTGCTGATACGCTTATCCCCTGCCCCATCCTTGCACGTTTATTTTACTTGTTGGAAAGAAAAAATTGGTGACTCTCCCACATGTCTACACAAATAGGAGCTCCATGTGGCCTTCGACAGCGCATTTGCTGCATGCAAGCAAAGCCCACACGAAGTACTTTAATCAATACCTGTGCCATGTCAGAAAGCTTGACAGCAGAGACACAAGAAAGGGTATGCGGGGGGAAATGTGTATCTACGTATCTACCCACGTTCCATGTACGTGACTACACGTTGTGGATGGCATCGAAAGAGTCGAAATTTATTCACCAAGAACCTCATGAAGCTTGGTTTAGACTACACCTTGTCGAGTGTTCGAGCAGAGGAAGGCAATTCGCTTCATTGTTTGCGTGACGATGCGATGATACGTGAACGGGCGCAGGCTACGGCCCTAAGTCCACCATATCACGTACACAAGGGCTCGAGAGTAACCCCTGCTACAACGGTAGACGGTGTACATTCGTACTGCTTCCGAGCGTAAGAGGATAGAACGACCTCCTACATGCTCGGATCAGTTCAATGCGGCTGCAGTGGCTTTATCGGTCAGGTGTAGGCTGAACAGCAGTCCGCCCTTGGAGAGCATGGTTGCCTTTGCCTCGGCTGCGAACAGAAACAGCAGTCCCTTTCACCTCGTGCCTCCATGTCAAAATAACTATTATTATTTCCAACGGCCGGCGTTGTTATTGTTCTTAGATTTCTGTATTCTGTTTCCCCCCCGTCATAGAATCGAAGTATCTTTCCACCATGTAAATAGTTACACAATAAATAGTCCATCTCTAGTATCCGTGGATAACTTTCGTCCAGGATGAGATAAATCTCGATGGATTCCATACCTACCTATACAGCCCCATTTTTCGCACTAGCCAGCCGTAGACTCCCTACCACCTTTGAGCCACTTCGGCTGAGTCAGCATGGGTCCCGCCTTCCTTCTGCGTGCGCGTTGTTTCTGAAGCAAACGAGTCAGGAGTCAAGAGGCTGTCAGCGGTCTTTGCTTGTTTTTTTGTCTAATTGGGTTTTTATATGTTTGAGTACGTACATAGAATACCCGTGCAACGTCCGTTTTTTTATCGTGACAAGTTCAAGTACCGGTAGTGCCCGCACATTCTAGTTTTGGCCGAGCGGGGATTTTTACTGCTGTAGTTCCTGCAGCAGGGTTGTGGGTGCTAACTGTACACGTCATCAACCCCCGCATTTACCGTTATTGTAGTAGTGAAGAGCGCGTCTCAACAGCAGTGACAATTCGCTGAAGTTGCTCCCTCGCCCTGCGGAGAAGGGGCAGCCCGGATGTTGATGACAACTTCCTTGCCCTTGCCAAGCCTCCCCCCAGGTGTGAGAACCTCCAAGCAAACCCTGCCCCCCCCCCCCCCCCCCCCCCCCCCCCCCCCCCCCCCCCCCCCCCC